GTAAATCGAGAGCTTCGCTTTCTGACTCAGCTCTCTCTTCACCACAACGGACCGGTACAGCGCCCGCTTTACAGCAACAATCTGATGATTTGTTGGAATATGGTTTGAGCTACAGAGGAACTGCTCTRGCCCCAACAGGAACTGATCAGTTTCCTGACATGCTGCTTTTTATTGCTCAATAATTGCTTTGCCTGCTGAGGTAAAAATTTCAGAGCACTTAAAGACATTTCGTAATATTATTCATTAAACTTTAATTTGTGTGTTGTTTCAGCTACACGTTATTAAAAGTTAATATTTTTCAAAAATTTAAAGTGTGTATGAAGATCCAAGTAAAATTGAGATTGACACTTGTTCGTTTTCTATGAAGCAATACATAAAATAATTTTTATACTGTATGTACATTTTGTAATATTTCTATGCATGTTAGTAAAAAATATAYATTTCGTCATTTTCATGACGATCGTGTAATTTTTGGTATTGCCCAACCATAGGACAGTCAAAAAATGTACGATAGGCCTACTTGAGAAATAAAGGAAACATTGTTTTTATTGATATTACATGTAGCACATTAGATACTGCTATACGTGAAATTATTTAACCAATTTCATAAAATAAATCGATATCAATTAGGGATATTTTTTAAACCACAATGATTTTTTTCCCCATTTTTGATCTTTGACATTAAAGTGTACGAGGGGTATTTGAAAGCAGCATTCGGTCTTGGGTGATGGGCGGGACTATGAGGCGCTACAAGTTCGATAACCAATCAGAGATCAGACTGTTACATGGCAACGCCAATCAGCGCAGAGAGACGGTYTGGTTGCGAAGGTAGTGATCGTGTTTATTCGCTGCTGGAAGACGCAAGTGYTTCCTCCAAGCTTCCCTGCGGTCAGCTTTAGTAACAAAATACTGCTTACATGTCTGTCAAACTTACCGTTTTGTAGCTGTTTTTTTGTTGTTTTAATTGTAACACCGCGGACTAGCTTGAAAGGTGACCCAAATCTGKTGTGTGGCGTATCTTTTTGAACATAGGGACACGAAACTACATCCCAATGGAGGGATCTTCTTCTCGAGAAGCTGAACTGTTTACTGTGAAACACGAGCTGAAAAATGGTAAGTTAGCGTGCCAGCTGGTGAAACTTAGCACATTTTACGTGTAATTGTGATATTTGTTTACGCACATGTCAGAGAGGGAAATGTTTGCAGGTTGTGTAGTTGGAGGAATCAGCTGTCATGAGGCGTTTATGAGCGCTAACACCGAGGTTCATTAGAAACAGCAGACTAACAACTGTCTGCCACTATGTTTTATGACATTCCTGGAAACTCACGCAAACTAAGGTTGCCTAATAATGCAGCTAACTGCTAGCATGACCTAACTGTTAACCAGGGTAATATCATTAGCTTAAATGGGTTGTTAAATGACATCCGTGTCAGTAGGTTAAACCAGTTTAACTCTTCCTCCTCTGGCCATTTTCTACTAGCTAAAAAAAAAAAAAAAGAACTACGTGTCGTTTCAAGAAAAGTCTTTATTGTTTAGACGTATATATGTATCAAATGTGTTACAAATAACAAACAAGATAGGAAACTGAACACCAGGGAGAACATACATGTACAAATACAACAAACAGACATGTAAAGACACCTGAGATTTAAGACCCAACATTTCTTGAAGAAACCACACGTTRTATCACTTCAAAAATATTAATCAAAAACTGTATTGTGCTGAGAAGTGACAGAGTTGCAATCGTTTTGGTTGTAAATGTGAAACCTCTTTAGATGTGTTAGCGCTAAGAATATGTTGAGCATGACTCTCAGCTACTACCACACCATATTTTAGTACAAAAAGAAAAAAAATTGTATAGGTCCTCTGGACAGGTTCTTCTCTAATGAAACGTTTCGTCTCTCC